TGACACCGGGCTCCGTGTTGCTGTTGCAAAGCCTTTCTTGGCCGGACTCAGTGCTGCCTGTATATGGCATGGCCCGGTCAGACCCTTCCCTTTCTGCGCTGGACCACTTGCACCTCGGTTTGTTGCTTTCTTTGCAAAGCCTCTCTAGGGTGGACTTCGCTTTGCCCACCTATGGAATGGCTCGGTTGGGACTGCCGCCCTCAGCCCTTGATCTTGTCACACTGGGTTTCGTCATGCCACTGCGAGGATCAGCATGATGCGGCTCTACCATGCCAGCATACGGTCTGACTCGCCCAGAAAGTGCCATGTTGGTGTTGAACTCTGCACACTTCGGCAGCACCATGCCCACCCGTAGCTACACTCGCACTGGCCCTGTTTTGTCGCCCTATGGCATGACCCGTTCAGAGCCCCTCACGCCAGCATTGGACTTTCTGCACTTGGAGTCACTGACGCCGTTGCGAACCTTCGGCTGCTTGGAGCTCATGCCTTCAGCCTATGGCTTGGTTTGCCTCGGCCCACCTCTGCCAGCTTTGGACTATGTGACTTCAGAGCTGTCGCTACCGCCGCAATGTCACGCGCGCTCTGGTCATGTACTCTCAGTCTTCGACAGCTGCCGATTTGCCTTGTCCCTGTCTCCCCGGAGCTTTGCTTGACTTGGCAGTTCCTTGTTCGTCTATGGGGCATCACGGCCTGGATCCCCACTGCCCATCTTGGACTTTGTGCATGCAGATCTCCCCTTGTCCCTGCAAGGCTCTGCTAGGCTCGGCCCGTTGCTGCCGCCTTATGGCGTGTGTCGACTGGGCTTCTCGCTGCCAGTCTCGGACCATGTCACTTTAGGCTCCACTTTGCTTCCCCGTGCACTCGCCTGCTTCGGGTCGAGCACGTCGGCTTACGGGACTATGCGCCTTGGCCCGAGCTGCTCCGTGCTGGACTTCATCCACCCAGACCCTTCGTCGCCTCTCCGCAGCTCCGCGCGCTTGGGGCCGCCGGCCTCGATGTCCGGGATCGTGCGGCCGGGGCCTTCAATGCCGGCGCCGGACCTCGTGACCATCGGCAGCTCGGCGTTGTTGCGGGGCCGCGGCTGCACGGGGCCTCCCGCGCCAACCTATGGCCTGTCTCGCCTGGGCAGTGCTTTGTCGGCCTTGGACTTTGTGCACATGGGACTGTTGGCGTCCCTGCGGAGCTCCTCCCGGCTGGGCAGCACACCTTTGACCTATGGCACTGGGCGCTTGGACTTTCCCACGCTTGTGCTTGACCTTGTGACAGCAGGCAGCCCGTCCTCGTTGCGCAGCCTCATGTGTTCAGGGCTGCCGTTGCCCACCTATGGAATCACCCGCCTTGGCCTGCTTCTGTTGGTGCTCGACCACATGCATTCTGGGAGCGCGCCGTCCTTGCGAGGCTTCATTCAAGCTGGCTCCAGCTTGTCAGCCTATGGCTTGACCTGCCCTGACCTCCCGACTTTGCCTTTGGACTTTGTGCACATCGAGCTCGTGTTGCTGCCGAAGAGTTCCGCCTGCCTGGGCTTTATGCTGTTCACCTATGGAATGTCTTGCATGGGTTTGCTCCCGCCATCGCTGGATTTCATCACTGTGGGCTCCACCGTGTCGCTTCATAGCTACGTGCAACTTGACAGCCTGCTGCCAGTCTATGGCATTTCTCGCCCGGGCCCTCCGCCGCCAGCGCCCGACCCTGCAAACATTGACCCTGCCTCGCTGCCTCGAGGCTTTGCACGCACAGGTTTGCCACCCTCGCCCTATGGCATGACTTGCATGGGAAGTCTGCTGCTGGCTTCGGACCTCGTCAACCTGGGCCTTTTACCGTCGCCCAGGGGCCTTTGCAAGCCTGGTCCGCCGCTTTCTCCCTATGGTGTGGTTCAACCTGGACCACTTCTGCCCGCGCTGGACTCTGCTAGCACAGGCTTCTCCCTGCCGCTGCAAACCTCTCTTTGGACGGGCCTCTCCTCACTTGCGTACGGCTGCTCACGTTTGGACTTTTCGACGCCAACCTCGGACCACATCAGCTGCGGCGCTTTTCCGCCACCGCGCGCGCTTGTGCACTTCGGCCTCATGCCGCCCGTCTTCGGCTGCTCTCGGCCCGGGGCGCCTTTGCCGGCTTTGGACCTCTGCAACGCAGGCCCCACCACGCTGCTGCGGAGCCTTGTGCGCACGGGGAGCCCGCCCTTGGCCTTCGGGCTGACCCGCTCGGGCTCGCCGCCGCCGACTTTGGACTCCTCATCTTTGGGCCCCTCGACGCCTCCCAGGACCCACGCGCGGCCGGGCCCAAGCCTCTCGACCTACGGCATTACGAAGCTGGGCTTCTCGACTTTGGCTCTGGACTCTGTCCATCTCAGCTTGCCGCCATCGTCGCAAGGCTTTGCTTGGATGGGAAGCTGCTCGTCGGCTTTCGGGATGAGCCGGCTGGGACTCTCGCCTTCGACTCTAGATTTCATCCACTCAGAGTCCAGCATGTCCTTGCGGGGCCTTCTGCAACTTGGTTCATTCTTGCTGGCATATGGGATGAGCCGCTTGGAATCCACTTTGCTGGTGCTGGATCACTTGCATCTGGGTTTACCCACGCTGCTGCGCACGCTTGTCTGATTTGATTTTTTCTTGCCGCTCTCTGGGTTTTGCTCTCTGGGCTTCCTTTCGCCAGCGCTGGATTTCATGAACGTAGGCCTGACCTTATTGCTGCGCAGCCACTTGCGCTCGGGTTTGATACCGCCAGTCTATGGCATGAGCTGCATGGGTGCTTCCTCACCGACTTTGGATTTCGTGCACCCGGGCTCGCTTTTGCCTCCCAGGAGCCCTGTTCGCCCAGAGCCGCCGCTGTTTGCCTATGGCGTAGTGCGCTTGGAGCTGCCAACGCCTGTGTTGGACTTCTTGCACCTGGGAAGTTCGCTCTTTCTGCGGGGCCTGTGCTGCACGGGCCTTTTGCCGCCCGCCTACGGAGTGACACGTCCGGAGCCCAGCCCGCCAGTCCCGGACCTCGTGCAGCCGGGCTTGCCGTCGTCGCTGCGGAGCCGCTTGCGCTTGGGCCCGCCGGCGCCGGCCTTCGGCATGACTCGGCCGGGCCTGCCACTGCCGGCCTTTGACCTTGTACACCTCGGCAGCCCGCCTTCGCCCACCTGCTTTGCCCGACTGGGAGAGTCGATTTCTGCATACAGCATGGCTCGCATGGGCTTGGCCATGCTGGCTCCCGACCTTGTCACAATCGGCAGCGCTATGCTGTTGCGCAGCCTTTGTCGAATGGACTTCACCATGCCTGCATATGGCTTGTCTGCTCCGGGCTTCCCAATGCCTGTCCTGGACCTCATTCACCCTGGCAGCTTGTTGCTTCTGCGCAGCTTTGCTTGCTCTGACAGTGCGCCTTTTGCATACGGACTGGTTCGGCCTGGTCCACCGCTGCTTTCATCGGACCTCGCAGAGCTTGGCAGTTTGCCGTCCCTGCGGTCTTTCTGCCGTCCTGGCCCGGCCATGCTCATTTTCAAGAGCTTCCGATCTGACAGCACCGTGCCAACCCTGGACTGCATGAACCCAGGCTTGACACCTTCCCTGCGCAGCTTTGCCAAGCTCGGGCTATCCATGCCAGTGTTTGGGATTTCCCGGTTGGATGTCCCTTTGTCCGTGCCAGACTTTGTGCACATGGAAAGCACCATGTTCTTGCACAGTCTCGCCCGCCCAGGGTTCTTGTTGCTGGTCTACGGGGTAACTCGTACGGGTTCGAGTTTGCTGGCGCTTGATCTCGTGCATACGGACTTGACGCTGCTTCCGAGGAGCTCCGCCCGGTTTGAGCCCACGCTTTTCGCGTATGGCGTCACGACCTCGGACCCGTTCTTGCTGTCGCCGGACCCTGTGAATCTGGGCCTGTCGCTGCCCCCCCGGTCCTCCATGCGGCTTGGCTTTTCCACGCCGGTCTTCGGAGTGGTGCGTTTGGACAGCTCTACGCTGGTCCCCGACTTCTTGCACTTGGGCTCGCCCTTGCTGCTGAGAAGCTTGGCAAGGCCGGGGCCAGGCTCGTCCATCTACGGAGTGACAAGACTCGGACTTCCGTTGCTCGCCTTGGACTTTGTCCACATGGGCTCCTCTCTTTTGCTGCAAAGCTCTAGTCGATCAGATCTTCCCGTGCTGTCATACGGCATCATCCGGACAGGACCCAGCCCGTCTCCCCTGGACCTCTCAAACTGCGGAAGCTCACCGCTCCTGCAAAGTTCCGCCCGCCCAGGTTTCACACCTTCCCCCTATGGCATGACACGCCTTGACAGCTCGTCTTTTGTGCCCGATCTTTTGCATTTGGGTAGCTCCCCTCCTTTGCGAGGCACCATTCAGGTTGACAGCTTTCTGCTTGCCTTCGGCGTGTCATGCTCTGACCCGTTACTTCCAGCTCCTGACTCTGTGCACATGGGCTTGCCGCCCTCTCTCCGTGGCCTCGGCAGATTGGGGCCTGCAACCTCAGTCTATGGTCTCTCGCGCCCAGGTAGCTTGCTGCCGGTGCCGGACTTTGTCCACATGGGACCGTTGCCATCGTTGCAAAGCCACAGCCGATCAGAAGCTCCTGTCCCGGCCTATGGCACAAGTCGCACTGGCGAGGCTTTGCTGGTCCTGGATTTTGTGCACATGGACTTGCCGATGTCGCCTCGAGGCTCCAGCAGACTGGACAGTCCGTTGCCTGCCTACGGCATGTCCCGTCTCGGCCCCTCTCCGCTTGTGCTGGACCCCCTTCATTTGGACCTCACCCCATCTCTGAAGAGCTTCGGCTGACTAGGAAGCGTACTGCCACCCTACGGCCTGGCAAGAGCAGACTTCTCCTTCTTGGTTCTGGATTTCATCCACTCAGGCAGCAGCGCGCCATTGCAAAGCTTCTTGAGGCTTGGCCCTGCCTTGCCAGTCTACGGCCTGACACGGATTGGCTTGCTGCTGTCAACGCTGGACTTTGTGTCAATCAGCTCGTCCTCGTTGCTCAGAAGCCTTTCCAGACTAGGGCTTACCCTGCTGGCCTCTGGAATGACTCGCCCGGGGCTGCCAACTTCCACCCTGGACTTCTTCAACGCGGGCAGCCTAGTGCCACTGCAAGGCTTCATTCGCTCGGGCCTTGCTCTGCTTGCCTTTGGCATGAACTGCTTGGGCGCGTCGCCGCCATTGCCTGACCTCGCCCACCTGGGCTCCAGCCTGCTTTTGCAGTCCCTCATCAGATTGGGCCCTGCTTTGCTGGTATACGGCATGAGCCGCGTTGGCTCTTTGCCATCAGCTCCGGACTTTGTAACTCTTGGCAGCACCCCCCTGCTGAGAGGCCCCGTGCACCCGGGCTCGGCCATGCCCGTGTACGGCATGACGCGGTTGGGCTCGTTGCTGCCAGTGCCCGACCCTGTGAACCTGGGTCTGACCTCCTTTTCGAGGGGCCTTGCCAGGTTGGGCAGCATGCTGTTGGCTTGGAAAGAGTCTGTGCCCGGACCGCCCTTGCCAGTGAGAGGCGGAGTTGTAATGGCCTCCATTGTGCTGATCAGAGGCCTTTCCCGGCCAGGATTCTCCTCGTTTGCATATGGCATTGTTTGCCTTGGTTTGCCGCTGTTGGCCTTGGACTTCGTACGACTCGACTTCTTGCTGCTGCCGCGAAGCCACTTGCAGCCAGGCTTTTCTTTGTTGGCTTATGGCGTTCAGCGTCTTGGCTTTCTGCTGCTGGCACCGGACTATGTGCAGCTTGAGCCAATGATGTTGCTGCAAGGCTCCTTCCGAATTGGGTCGCCTCTCCCAGCATATGGCCTGGCTTGGATTGAATTCTTTCTGTCAGTTCCGGACCTCGTCCAACCCGACTCCCCAGCCTTCATCCGAAGCTTCCTGCATCTCGACTCTCCTCTCTCCGCTTGGGGCTTGTGCCGGCTGGACTTCATGCCGTTGACCCTGGATTGTGCTCAGATGGAAGCTTCCACGCTTCCTCGAAGCCTCCTGCACTCAGGGCTGCTGTTGTCAATCTATAGCTGTATGCGCTTGGAGTCGTTGCTGCCTGTTCTTGACCACGTCTCCACAGGCCCGCTGTTGTCGTCGCAAAGTTTCGGATGGCCTGGCTTGATGATTTTAGTTTGGGGCGTGATGCGGCCCGGATTCTTTCTTTTGGCCTTGGACTCTGTCAGCCTGGGTTTCTTGCCGCCTCTTCGCGGCTCCTTGCGCCCGGGCAGCGGGTTGCCCACCTATGGCGTGCAGTGCCTTGGCTCTTTTCCGCCCACTTCGGACATGGCCACCTTGGGAAGCCCCCCGCCGCCCCGGAGCTTCATGTGCTTGGATCCTTTGCTGCCGACCTACGGCCTGACAAAGCCCGGCTCCCTGCTGCCGCCCTTGGACCCAGCAAGCCTGGGCTCAGCTCCGTTGGCACGCAGCTCTGTGCAACTGGAGCCATCTCTCTCTGTCTACGGGCTCACCAGGCTGGGCCTTTTGCCGCCAACCCCGGATCACAGCAACTCTGGCAGCATGATGTTGTCGAGGGGTTCCTTGCGGCCCGGACCGCCCCTCTTCACCTACGGCCTCTGCAAGTTGGGACTCTTGTTGCTGCCACTGGACCTCGCTACCTCGGGGCCAAGCATGTCCTTGCACACTTCTGCCAGGCCAGGCCCGTTCTTGCCGATCTCAGGGCTGAGTCGACCCGAGTCCTTTGTGCCAGCCTTGGACTCCATTTGCTTTGGCTCCTTTGCGCTGTCGCAAAGTCTCATTTGCATCGGCCCAGCGCCACCGGCCTATGGCCTGACAAAGTTGGGCTCCAGCTCACCCGCCTGTGACTCACTACATGCTGAGCCCACGCCGCCTCTTCGGGGCTTTTGTCAGCTTGATTCTTCACTCCCTGCCTATGGGCTGACTCGGCCCGGCCTCTTGTTGCCTGCCTTGGACCACGTCCGCACGGGGCCGCCGATGCTGATGAGGAGCCACTGCCGCACCGGCAACCAGATGTCTCTCTACGGCCTGGCGCACTCGGGGGATCGGCTGCTGGTGCTGGACTTTGTCAGCTTCGCCTCCTTCTTGTTGGCGCGGGGCTTCTGCCGCCTGGGCTACACGCTGCCGGCCTACGGTGTTGCGCGGCCTGGGCTGCCACCGCCACTTCTGGACCTCGCGCATTTGGGGCCTCCGCCACCACTGCGCAGCCCCGCGCACATGGGCAGCATCTCGTTTCTCTACGGCATGTCCTGCCCAGGAGCATCGCCTCTTGCAGCGGATTCTGTCAACATCGGCCTTTTGTTGCCCCTGCAATCTTCTGCAAGACTTGGGAGCCCGCTGCCAGCATGGGGCGCTTCTTGCATGGACCTGCCCTTGCCTGCGCTTGACCACATCATGCTGGGCCCGTCCCTGTCAACTCAATCCCTCGTTAGACTGGGCTCCACTTTGCTGGTCTTTGGCATGAACCGACCAGGCGCTCCTCTTCCTGTACTGGACTTTGTGCAGCTGGACTCTTCCACCTCTCTGCGTGGCTACATGCGAATGGAGCTGCTTTTGCCCGTTTATGGCATCTCGCGTTTGGAAGCCTTGCTGTCAGCAGTTGACTTTGTCAACATTGATTCCTTCCCGCCCTTGCAAAGCCTATTGTGCTTGGACCTCATGCTGCTGGCTTACGGGTGTTCCAGACTGGGGCTGTTGCTGCTGGCCTTGGATTTTGTGCGCCTGGGACCGCCGCCACTGCTGCGCAGCTCCATTTGTTTGGGGCCGCCCACGTCTGTGTACGGCGTGGCACGTTTGGGGCCGCCTCCCTCCACCCTGGACTTCGCCGTGTCGGGCCCAGCCACGTCGGCACGGAGCCTCGTGCGCCCAGGCAGCCCGTCGCCCGCCTTTGGCATCTCCCGGCCGGACGCGTTGTCGTCCGCTCTGGACCACATCTCCGTAGGCTTCCCCCCTTCACTGCGGACCCACTTGCACCTCGGCAGCTTGCCGTTGGCCTACGGCATGTCGCAGCCAGAGCCATCGCCTCCAGCTCTGGATTTTGTGCACCTGGAATCGCCGCCATCTTCGCACAGCTTTGTGTGGCTTGAGCCTCTCTTGTTCGCCTATGGTTTGTGTAGGATGGGGCCTTTTTCACTGGTTCTAGACCTTCTCAATGCTGAGCCCTTTCCGCCTGCGCGTGGCTTCGTTTGCCTGGAATTGAGTCTCTTGGCATATGGCCTGTGCAAGCCAGGCCTGTTCTTGCCAGCCTTGGACCTTGTGAGCATCGGCTCCTCCTTGCTCCCGCACAGCCTCTTCTGCCTGGGGTCATTGCCTCTGGTTTTCGGCATGACACGGCCAGAGCTCCTTTCACTGCTGCTTGACACTGCTAGCATGGGGTCTTCCCTGTCCTTGCGCTCCCTCCTAAGACTTGGCCTTGCCCTGTCGGCTTATGGAATGTGCTGTGCTGAGCCTTCCTTGCTGGTGCTGGATCCCACCAGTCCTGGCAGCCTTCTGCTGACACGAAGCTTTGCAAGATTGGGGCTGTCATTTTCGGCCTCCGGCTTGGCGTGGTTGGATGCCTCGGCGCTGCTCCTGGACTTTATCCATATCGACAGCCCCTTGCTCTTGCGATCCCTCGCTTGATTGGGGCCTACGCTGTTTGCCTTCGGGCTGTGCCGCTCAGACTCTTCCTTGCTGGCGCCGGACTTTGTGCACATTGAACTTCTACTGTTGCCCAGGAGCTATTGCCGAATTGGTTTTTCTATGTCCACATATGGCATGTCTCGCACTGACTCAGCCTTGCTTGCGCCAGATTCCCTTCACCTTGAATCCTCATCATTGCTGCACGCCTTCTCATGGCTCGGGAGCTTGACGCCCGCCTTTGGGATTGCACGCTTGGAGCCTTTGCCTTCGACCCTGGACCTCGTCCACACTGGGCCGCCGATGTTCCTCCAGAGCCCCGCTTGTTCAGGGCTGTCGATTTTGGCCTACGGGGTCATGCGGGCAGAGTTCTCCCTGCCGGTGTCGGATTTTGTGCACCCAGACCTGCCATTGTCGCTGCGCGGCTCAGTGCGGTCTGAGCCACCCCTCTCTGCCTACGGCCTGTCCCGCATGGACTCCTCGCTGCTTGTGCTGGATTCCGTGCAGCTCAGCTCCCCATCGCTGTCGCGGGGATTCTTGCGGATTGGTTTGCCACCCTCGGTCTTTGGCATCACCAGGTCGGAGTTGCCCTTGCCGGTGCTGGACCCTGCCAGCTCGGGACTGTCCATTTTCCTCAGGGGACTTACCAGGCCTGGCCTTTTTCTGCTTGCTTACGGGCTTACTCGGACTGATCTCTCCTCGCCAGCAGCGGACTTTGCTCATATCGAGCTCTCGGCTTCGCCCCGCTCCCTCCTTCGGCCTGGGCTGACGCCTTCGGCATACGGCCTGTGCCGTGCAGAGCCCTTGCTGCCCGTCCTGGACCTCGTGCAGCTGAGCTCCTCGTCGCCGCCGCGTGGCCTTTTCCGGCTGGACAGTAGCCTGCCTGTCCTGGGTTCAAGCAGGCCAGAACCCATCCCATCGGTGCTGGACCACGTATCTTTAGGCTTGTCCACATTTTCGCGTCACCCTGCAAGGCTTGGTTCTGTGATGTTGGCCTATGGCATGGTTCGGCCCGGATTTCTTCTGTTGGCTTTGGACCATGCCATGATGGGCAGCTCATCGCCTCTGCAAAGTCACCTGCATTTGGACTTGCCTTTGCCTGCCTTTGGCCTGTGCTGCATGGGCTCCAGTCTGCTGCCACCGGACCTGGTCACGCCGGGATTGCCACTGCCTCTGCAAGCTCCTGCACGGCCAGACCTCCTGCTGCCGGCTTACGGCCTGACTTGCTCAGGCCTGACCTTGCCAACCCTGGACTTGTTTAACGCAGGCTTTTCCCCCTCTTTGCGCACGCTCGCCTGACTGGGCCTGTCCTCGCTGGCCTATGGCATCTCACGCTTGGAGTCCTTGCTGCTGGTTCTGGACTTCATCCAGTCCGGCTTTTTGCCACCCCTGCGGGCCTTGGTGCGCCTGGGAAGCTCGTGCTTGGCGTATGGCATCTCACGTCCTGGAGTTCCCCTCCTGATCCTTGACCACATCCACACTGGGCCCTTCTTGTCCTCAAGGGGCCACATGAGGCTTGAGCTCTCCTCGCCAGCGTTTGGGCTGTCCTGTCTGGGACTGTCTCTGGTAACTCCTGACTGCCTCCATGCTGAACCCGCCTCGCCGACCCGAGCTTTCACCCAACCGGGCTTCTTGTTGCTGGCCTTCGGGCTGTTGCGCCCAGGCCTTTTGCCGCTGGTGCCGGACTCCATGAAAATCGGGCCGTCGCCGCTGCTCCAAACACTCCTGCGGCCTGGCTCCAGTTTGTCGGTCTTCGGCCTCACGAGACCAGGCTCGCCCTTGCCAGCCCCGGACCTCGCCCACACTGACCTGCCGCCCCCTCTGCACAGCTCTATGCGCGCGGGCAGCATCCTGTCGGTGTTTGGCATGGCGTGGTTAGGCTCCTCCATGCCTGCGCTGGACTTTGTGCACTTCGGCCCGCTGCTGTTCTCGCAAAGCCCCCTGCAAGTTGGCAGCGCTTCGCTGGCCTATGGTCTGACTCGCCTTGGCCCGCTGCTACCGCCTTCGGACTTCGCATGTGCCGGCTTCGCACCCTTGGCCCGGTCCTTTGCCCGGCCAGGTGCAAGCCTTCCAGTCTACGGGCTGACGTGCCCAGAGCCTCCGCTGCTGTTGCTGGACCCAGGGCACTTTGGGCCGCTGCTGCCGCTTCAAAGTCATATTCGGCCCGGAAGCCCCATGCCAGCCTTTGGCTTGTCCAGGCTTGGCCCGCCCTTGCCAGTGTCGGACTTTGTGCTTACGGAGTCCCCTTTGTCCATTCGCTCCCTTGCACGGACAGGCTTTGTTGCTCCCATATACGGCGTTTCCAGATCAGGCTCATCTACTCCGGCGTTGGACTCTTTGCACCCAGGACCCTTGCCGTCCCTGCGATGTCTCATGTGTGCAGGCTTGGCGGCATTGGCTTATGGGCTGACGCGCCTTGGCTCGCCCACGCCCACTTCAGACTTTGCTCACCCTGGCCCCAGCTTGTTTCCACGATCCTTCATTTGCCCTGACAGCATGATGCCAGCCTTTGGCATCAGCCGTCCAGGAAGCTCGCCTCCCGTCCTTGACTTCGTCCACATCGGCTTGTCCGCGTCTCCCAGGACCCATCTGCGAACGGGCCTTTTGTTGCTGGCCTTCGGCATGTGTTGCTCAGAGCTGCTACTGCCAGTGCTGGACTCCTCCCAGCTCGGACCATCGCTGTTTCTCCAAACGCTCTTGCGAGCGGGCAGCCCGCCGCTGGTGTATGGCATTGCTCGGCTGGGGCTGACCCCACTAGCGCTGGACCACTCGCACCCGGGCTCATCCATGTCGCCGCAAGCCCACGCTCGCCCTGGCATGCCACCTTTGGTGTACGGCATCTCCTGGCCAGGGCTTCCGCTGCCGGTGCTGGACTTTGCGAACTCGGGATCCACTTTGCCCTCAAGGTCCCTTGTGCACCTGGACCTGGCTCTGCCCGCGTTTGGCATGTGCCGGCCCGGCTCTTCGCTGCTGCTGCTGGACTCCATGAACACAGGTCCCGGGCTGCCACTCCGCGCCCTTGCACGCCCGGGCTCGCTTCCGTCGGCCTACGGGCTCAGTCGCTCAGGCCTCAGCCCACCGATCTTGGCCTTCTCGCAGATCGGGCCGCTGCTGCCCACCCGCAGCTCTGCGCGACCTGGGCTCCCTCTGTCAGCCTTCGGGTTGAGCTGCACAGGGCCCTTGGCTCCGACCTTGGACTTTGTGGCCACGGGCAGCTCGCTTCTCCTCCGTAGCCCTTTGCGCGCAGACTCGGCGCTCTTTGCCTATGGAATGTCCGTGCCGGGATCCTTGCTGCTCGCACCGGACCTTGTGCACCTAGAGCTGCTGCTGCCACTGCACAGCTCAATGTGCTTGGGATCTACTTCGCTTCCCTACGGCATGTCCTGGATGGACTTGTTGTTTTTTACTCTGGACCTCATCCACTCTGGCCTTGCAATGCCTCTCCATGGCCCTGCACGGCTTGGCAGCACTTTGTTTGTCTTTGGCCTGACACGCCTGGACTCCTCTCTGTCCGTCTTGGACCCTTCGCACTTGGGGTCGCCTCTCTCACCACACAGCTACATATGCCTAGGCCTGCCCATGTTAGTCTATGGCATGTGCCGGCTCGGGCTGACCTCGTTTCTGCTTGACCGCGTCAACGCCGGCCCCCTGCTGTTTCTGAAGAGTTTCGTTCGCCTGGGCTTGGCTGCCTTTGTCTACGGCATGACCCGCATGGAGCCAAGCTTGCCAGTTCTGGACCTTATCCACCTTGAGTTGCCCTTGCCTCTCCAAACCTTTGCTTGTTCAGAGAGCTTCCTGCCTGCCTTCGGCATGACTTGCACTGGTCCCCCCATGTTGGTCTTGGACTTCATTTGCTTCGGCCTGAGCTTGCTCTTGCGAAGCCTCATGTACCTTGAATCCAGCACCCCTGTTTATGGCGTGGGGCGACTCGGGCTCTCTCTGCCAGCCCTGGACCTTGTCCTTCTGGGACTGCTGACGTCAGTGCAGAACACGTGCCGAGCAGGTAGCGCCTTGCCATCCTCCGGACAATGTCGTACAGACTCCGCGCTGTCCACCTTAGACTTCTCCCACCTGGGCTCCAGCTCCCCACCGCGAAGTTTTGCCTGCCCCGGGTTCGCGCTTTTGGTCTACGGAGTGAGCCGAACTGATCCCTCTTCACTGGCCCTTGATCTTGTGCATTTGGGCCTGCCCCTGCCGCTGCGGGGATTTGCTTGCATGGGCCCGCCGCCTTCGACCTATGGCATGAACCGCTTGGGCAGCTCCCTTTCAGCCCCAGACTTCGTGCATTTGGGCTCCTTTCCTCCGCCTCAAAGCTGCATGAGGCTGGGAAGCACCCCGGCGCTGATGGGAGGTGCGCGCACTGGTGGGCTTCTGCCGGCCCTGGACTTCATGCACCCAGGCAGCCTGACTCCGCCGAGGAGCTTTGTGCGATTTGGTAGCATCCTGTTGGTCTTTGGCATGACCCGCCCGGGCTTGCCCATGTCGGTGCTTGACCTTGTGCTTATGGGCCCCACCTTGCTGTTGCGGTCACCCATCCGCTGCGGCTCCTCCACCTCCTTGGTGGGCGAGATTCGCTACGGCGGGAGATTCTCCATCCTGCAATTCGCCAACTTCGGCAGCGCCCCGCCCCTGCGCAGCTTTGCGCGCTCGGGTCTTCCGCTGCTTGTTTATGGCATGTCGCGGCTGGGGCCGCTGCTGCTAGCGCCCGATCCCGTGCATCCTGACCCATCGCTGCCTTCGCAAGCACCGGCCTGGGTCGGCTTGTCCACGCCTGTCTATGGCATGTCCCTCCTTGGCTCAACCATTTCAGTTCCTGACCTCATTCACATCGGCTCCTTGCCGCCACTCCAATCTCATAGCCGCCTGGGAAGCGCGTTGTTTATTTACGGGGTGACGCGGACGGACTTTTCGCTTCCAGTCTCAGACTCTACGCAAATCGAGCTGTTGGCATTGTTGCAGTCCATGGTGTGTCTCGAACTCTCGTTGCTGATCTACGGGCTCATGCGGGTCGGCCTGAGCCTTCCAGTGCTGGACCTCTTTCGCTCGGGAAGCCCACCGCCCATTCGATCCCACACCTGGTTTGGCAGTTTTCTGTTCGCATATGGCATGACTTGGCCAGGCTTCTTGCTGCTGACTTTGGACTTCATCCACCTCGGCTCAGCCATTCTTTCAAGAAGCTACGTGCAGCTGGGCTCTTTGATGCCGATTTGGGGCATTAGCTGCCTTGAAGCTTTCCCATCCTTGCTGGATTGCGCACACCTTGGCTCTCCCATGTCCTCAAGAGCACCCATCCGCATGGGTTTTCCGACGCTGATCTATGGCGTGATGTGCACGGGCCCGCCTCCCTTGGCGCCAAACCATGTGAGCATAGGCCCATCGCTGCTTCTGCAAACACCCTTGCGACCGGGCCTTCCGCCTCCGATGTATGGGGCGATGCGGCTGGGTTCGTTGCCGCTGACCCCTGACTTCATGAACATCGGCCCCGCACTGCCCATGCAAAGCCTTGCTAGATCAGAGAGTTCCATTCCAGTCTATGGCATCGGACGCATGGACTCGTCACTGTTGGTCCCGGACCCTGTCCAACTGGGTTTGTTGCCGTCACTTCACAGCTCTCTCCACATGGGAAGCCCACCTTCGGCCTATGGTTCCTTGTGCTTAGGCTTTTTCCCACCCATACTGGATTCCATCACCATGGGCTCGCTGCTGCCATCGCAGTCCTTTGTGCGGCTAGGGCCCGTATCGTTGGCCTCCGGCATGACTCGCCCTGGCAGTCCGCTTCCGGCCCTTGACTCCACCCAGTTCAGCTCTTCGCCGCCATTGCGCGGCTTTGCGTGAACCGGCCCCTGTCCGCCGGCCTATGGCATTGCACGGCCTGAATCCAGCTCTTTGGCACTTGACCACATTCATTTTGAGCCGCTGCTGCCGTTGAAGGGCATGCTTCGCCTGGGATTCGCCACGCTCGCTTACGGCATTTCTTGCTTGGGCTCCAGCTTGCCAGCACTTGACCTCGCCCAAATAGAGCTTCCCTTGCCACCGCGAAGCCCCGCACAATCAGACCCAACCCTGTTTGCCTTTGGGCTGAGCTGGTCAGGTCTTCCGTTTTTGGTGCCCGACTTCGCCAACACCGAGTCCCCTTTTCCCCTGAAGACGCCTGTCCGCTCAGACAGCCCTTTGTTCCCCTATGGTGCAATGCGCTTGGGTTTGTTGCTGCCGGCCCTTGATCCTGTGCAGCTTGGCCCCCTTTTGCCTGTGCGAAGCTTTGGCAAGCCAGGGTTGGCCTTGTTGACATATGGCCTGACTAAATCGGGCTTGCCTTTGCTGGCGCCGGATTTCCTGCACCCAGGCAGCTCTTTGCCCTTGCAAGGCTTCGCTCGTATGGGCTTTTCGGCCTTGCTCTATGGTGTTATGCGCCTCGGCAGCTTGCCGCTGGCACCGGACTTCCTGCACCCGGATTTGTCGCTGTTCTTGCGGACCCCCATGTGGGTAGGCAGCGCGCTGCTGCCTTATGGCGTGGCGCGACTTGGTGCGCCGCCACCCGCCACGGATCTCATCAACCTGGACTCGCTGCCGCCGCTCCAAAACCATTTGCGCGCTGGTAGCCCTTTCTCGGTGCTCTCCAGCGTGCGCCCGGGCAGCTGCGCTTTGGTGCTGGACTGCATGCATCTCGATCCAACCACGTTCCCTCGGAGCCTTTTGCGCCTGGACTTGCTCTTGTCGATCTTCGGGCTTACCCGCTTGGGTTTGTCCACTCCGGCTCTGGACCTTGCACATCCTGAGCCTTCCCTGCTGCTCAGAGGCCACTTGCGGATTGGCTCGGCTCTGTTGGTCTACGGAATTGTTCGGCTGGGCTTCCCATCGCCTGTCCTTGATCATGTGCAGCTCGATTCTACCTTGCTGATTCAAAGCCATGCGCGACTCGGAAGCTTTCTGTTTGCCTATGGGCTGACTCGCTTGGACAGCCTTTTGTTGTCGCTGGACTCGTTTTCGACAGACTTGTCCATGTCACTTCAAACTTTCTGCCAACTGGGCAGCCTGCTGTTGGTCTATGGCGTGACGCGGCTCGGCCTCCCGCCGCCAGCGCTGGACTTTGCGCTCTTGGGCTTGTTCTTGTCGCTGAAGGGCCCAGCATGACCTGAGCTGGCGCTTTTGGTTTACGGTCTGACGCGCCCAGACTTGCCACTGCTCATCCTGGACTGTTTGCATACTGGCTCCCTGCCGCCACTGAAGGCTTTCGCTTAGCCCGATCCCGCCCTGTTTGCCTACGGGTTGTGCTGCATAGGTCCTTTCCTGCCAGTGCCGGACCTCGTGAATCCCGGGCCGCCCTTGCTGGTGCGCACGTTTTTGCGGACAGGGCCCAGTTCCTCCGTGTACGGCATCTCCCGCATGGACTCGGCTCCATTGGCGTCGGATCTGATGTCCACTGGCCCTTCAGCGTCTTTGAGAGGTTTCTTGAGGCTGGGCCTGGCGCTGTCTGCCTATGGCCTGACTCGCCTTGACCTCCTCTTGTCCGTGCCAGACCTCACATCACTTGGCCCGAGCCCGCCCTTGCAAAGTCGCCTCTGTGCCGGCTCCTTGCTATTGATTTATGGCCTTTCCAGACCCGGTTCTTTGCTGTCGGCGCCAGACCACGTGAGTTTGGACTTCTCGCTTCCCTTGCAAGGCTTCTTGAGGATCGGGCTTTCCTTGCTGGTATATGGCTTGACACGGTCAGACTTTCCATTGCTGGTACCCAGCCACACTCAGCTGGGACCCTCGCCTCCGCTGCACACCTTTTTGTGTCCTGGGCTTTCCTTGTCCGTCTTTGGGCTGTCCTGGCCAGGTGCATCTTTGCCAGCGCCGGACCCCATGCACGCAGAGCCCTTGCTGCTGGCACGAGGCTTCTGTTGGCTAGGTGCCTTCCTTCCGGCCTTCGGGATGACCTGCTTGGGCGCGCTTTTGCCTATTCCTGACCTTGTGCAAGCAGAGCCCTTTTCATTGCCACACAGCCTTTTCCGATCAGAATTGCTTCTGCCAGTCTTTGGCTTAACCCGCCTGGGATTCTTGTCGCTTCTGCCAGACTTCATGCACTTTGGGCCCTTGCTGCTCCTTCACAGCCTTGCTCGTCTGGGGTTCAGCTTGCCGGTCTACGGACTTTCGAAGCTCGGCTTTCTGCTGCTGGTCTTGGATTTTGTCCAGTTTGGCTTGTCCTCGCTGCTGCAGACGCCCCTCCGCGCGGGTTCTCTGCTGTTGGTCTATGGCATGTCTTGCACGGGCCTTTTCCTGTCTCTGCCAGACCCCTTCCTTCTTGGGCTTTCATCACCGGTACGTGGATCTATGTGACCTGAAAGCTCGCCTCCAGCCTTCGGACTCACTCGTTCAGAATTTCCTCTGCCGGCCTCGGACCTTGTCGCTCCGGGGCTCTCTACGTCACTCAGGTCTCCCCTTTGCTTGGGACTCTTGCCGTTCATGTATGGCGCTACGAGGCCCGAACCCCCGCTGTTAGCTCTTGACCCTGTGCACACAGGTTCCACCATGTCTCCCAGAAGCCACATCCAACCCGATTTCATGCTGTTGGTCTTTGGCTTGTGCAGACCAGAACTTCCGATGCTGACCCTTGACCTTGTTCACACCGCATTCCCGTTGCCTTTGCGGACGTCTGCCCAATTCGGATTTCTGCTGTCAGCCTACGGCATGTCAAGATCAGACTTGTCTCTGCTGGTCTCGGACTTTGCACACTTGGGGAGCTCGCTGTTGCTTCGAAGCCCCATTTGCTCAGGCCTCCTGATGCCTATATTTGGCATTGCTTGCTTGGGGCTGATACTTTCAACCCTTGATCCTGTTCAAACCGAGCCAGGTTTGCCCTTGCAAGGCTTGTGCCAACCTGAATTGCTGTTGTTCGCATATGGGGTCACACACCCTGAATTGCCGCTTTCGGTTCTCGACTTCGTGCATGTTGATCTGTTTCTGCTCCTGCGCAGCCTCCTCCGCTCGGGTAGCACGCTCTTGGCCTTCGGCTTGGCTCGGCCAGACCCATCCTCGCTGGTGCTGGACTTTGTGCAGATTGGCTTGCCGCTTTTGACGCGCGCATCCACCCGAGTCGGCTCTGTCTTGTCTGTCTATGGCGTCACAAGGCTTGACCTGACCCCCTCTCCGCTGGACTTGCTGCACGCAGAGCCCGGGCTGTTTCTGCAAGGCTTCTGCCGCCCTGGACCTTTGCTGTCGGTCTATGGCATGACCCGACCAGGGCTTTCGCTGCCCGCCTCGGACCATGCACACCTGGGATTCCCGCCTTCGCTCCGCTCATCGGCCCGGCTCGGGAGTTCTCTGCTGGCCTGGGGCATGACCTGTTTGGGTCCCTCCACTTCTGCTCTGGACTTCAGCATTTTCGGCTCCCCGGCGCCCGCACGCACACCCTTGCAAGTGGGCTCGCTCTCGCCGGCCTATGGCATGATGAGGCCGGGCCCTGTGCCGCCCTTGTCGGATTTGGTTTCCCTGGGCTTCTTGACTCCAGCACGGCACTCTGCTCGCCCCGGCAGCACACTGCTGGCCTCCGGCATGAGCCGCCTCGGCCCGCTGCTGTCCGTTCTGGACCTTGTGCACATCGACCCACCGCCGCTCCTGCGACACTCCTTCCGCTCGGGCCTTTCTTTGTTGGCCTTCGGCCTGGCCTGCTCAGAGAGCTCGATGTTGGCGCCGGACCCTGTGCACGCAGCCAGCCCACCACCTTCGAGGAGCTTTATGCGCCTGGGGCTCCCGAGCTCAATTTATGGAGTTGGACGACTGGACTTCTTTCTGCCTGTTTTGGACTTTGTGCTTTTGGGTCTAATCGTGTCTTTGCAAAGCTCCTTCTGCTCGGGGCCGAGCCTGCTTGTTTTCGGAATGTCCTGGTCGGGGCCGAGTCTGTCAGCACCAGACCCTGTGCAATCCGGCCCTTTTCCGCCATCGCACAGCCTTCTTCGGCTGGGCTTCTTGCTTTTGGTTTTTGGCATGAGCAGGCTCGGGCTTTCACTTCTGGTGCCTGACCTTGCGACCCTGGGGCCCTTCTCGTTGCTGCGAACGCACCTGTGGTCAGGCCTAGTGACGTCGGTCTATGGTGTTACGCGCATGGGTTTCCCCTCGTTGGCTTTGGACTCTGCAAACACTGGGCCTTCAATCCTGGCACGGACACTTCTCCGGCCTGGCTCCAGCCTGCTTGCATATGGCCTGGCGCGACCAGACAGCACACTGCTTGTTCCTGATTATGTGCAGATTGGTCCCATGTTGTCCTTGCAAGGCCTCTCCTGCCTGGGGTTGTTCTTGCCCACCTATGGCCTGACTTGCCCGGGATCAATGCTGTCTGCGCCTGACCGCACCAGCCCAGGCTCGCCGACTTCGACTCAAGGCTCCATGTGATCGGGCTCGACGCTGCCAGTGTTTGGCATCACAAGGTCAGAGCCCTTTTTGCCGGCGCTGGATTTTTCGGACTTCGGATTCCCTCCGCTGCCCCGAAGTCACTTGCATCTTGGCTCCAGCCTGCCAGCGTATGGCATCGCCCGCATCGAGGCTCCGCCGTTTGTCCTGGACTCCACGCACCTGGGACTCACCCCGTCCTTGCAAAGTTACGTCCGCCCTGGCCCGCTGATGCCAGCCTTCGGCATCACCTGGCTGGGCTCTACGCCATCACCACCTGACTTTGTGAACCTGGGCAGCACCTTGTTTCTGCGCGGCTCCATGTGGCCAGACCTTTCCTTGTTAGTCTATGGCTTGTCTTGGCTTGGCAGCCCGCCTTTGATCCTGGATCTCATCCACTTAGAGCCCTCCATGCTGCCCAGAAGCCCCATGTGCTTGGGCCCTGCCTTGCCAGCCTATGGCATCACCAGAACGGGCCTGCTTCCGCTTGCTCCAGACTCTGTGTCCATAGACTCGCCTCTCTTCATGCGAAGCAGTGTTCGTCCGGGCCTGGCGCCTTCAACCTCCAAGAATGTCCAGTCTGGCCTTTCGCTGCTGGTCCTGGACACCGTGGAGCTGGGGCCGACCACCTTGATGAGGGACTTTGCGTGCCCGGGGTCAATCTTTCTGGCCTTTGGAATCACGAGGTCTGGCCCTGCCATCTCAGCCCCGAGTCCCGCCAACTCAGAGCTCTCCTCATCCACGCGGTCCTTCACTCGCCTTGGAGCGCCGCTGCTGACCTCGGACCTTGCTGAGCTGGGCCTGCCGTTGTCTGTGCAACAAACGTGCTGCCTTGGTCTCACCTTGTTGACCACAGGCCTAGGTTGCACGGGCTCCTTCATGTCGGCCTCGGACTCCACGAACTTGGGCTCCATGACTTCCATGCAAGGCGTCAGCATGGTGGGCCTGGCGACTTTGGCGTTTGGCATCTGCAGCTTTGGCTTTCCGGCGTTTGCGCCGGACCCTGCGCAGGCCGGGCCCTCTTCGCCGCCCCGGAGCTTCGCGCACCCGGGGTCCACATCCTTGGCCTCCGGGCGAACCCGGTCTGACTCGCCCCTGTTGGCACCGGACTCTTTGCGGCCAGGGCCCACTGCACTTCTGCGAGGCCACAACTGCACGGGCGCCCTGCCGTTGGCATCCAGCAGAGCGACTCCTGGCTCGCCCTCGCTACCACCAGACACGGCTCAGCCTGATTTGTCTCTGCTTGCTCAAAGCTCTGGCTGCTTGGGACCTGCTCCGTCAGTGTTCAGCATTGGTTGCTGCGGGCCACCCTTGCTTGTTCTGGACCATGCGTACTTGGGACTTACCATGCCTCCCCACAGCCGCGCGTGCTTGGGAGCCCCGTTTCCAGCCTCTAGCTTCACTTGGCTTGGCCCGATGCCGTCCTCGCCTGATTGTGCGAATCCCGGACCCATCCTGTTGCTTCACAGCCTTGTGAGAGCCGATTTGGCCGTGTCAGTCTTGGACCCCCTGCACTTGGAGGTGTCCACGCTGCCACGCAGCCTTGCCAGGTGTGGCTCTGCTTTCTCAAGCTTTGGCCAAAGCCGCTTTGGGTCCTTTCTGCTGGTCCTGGATTCTTTGTACCCGGGCCTTTCCCCATCTCTCCGAGGCATGGTGCAAACAGGTCCCATCTCTCCAGTGTTCAGAAGAGCAAGGCCAGGGCCCCTGCTTCTGGCTCTGGACTTTTTGCATCCTGACTCAGCCATGTTGCTGAGAAGCGTGCT